GATTCTGGCTCAGGTCATGATCTCAGGGTTGTGAGATCCAACTCTGCCCTCAGGGAGGGGTGGGGTCTGCTTGAGATTTCTCTCCTTCTCCCTCTGCCCCTCCCACCCCTTGCTCATGTGTGCAAGTTCACTTGCACACATGCTCTCTCTAGAATAAATAAAATAAATCTTTAGGAAAAAAAGGCATCAGAGCCCATAGACTGCATTTTCTAGAAACTTCCCTTTGCTAAAGCTCCTCAAACTCAACACAAATTTGCCCTCCAGCCTGGCCAAAACCTCCGTGCCTACTCTGTTTCAGTCATGAATTATTATTCAGTGTCCGAAGTGGCAAACTGACAACATTTGTCAAAATGTATTTTTATAGAGCTGCACCACCTAATTCCCCTTCTCTGGCAGTCCTGGAGGATGGTACTGTTTGGCCAGCACGGCAGGCAGAGGGCTAGATTTTAATCTTTCAGGCTCCTACTGTCACAGTGACCACCAGGCGGGCTTTTAGATGCTTCCATTAGATCTTTGTCTTCCATTCCACCTGGAAGATGCTGAAAAATTACCAAATTAGGCTGAAGTGTTGCACCCATTAGGTGTTTTCTTGAGCTGCTCCATGTTTTGGCTGCGAAGGGAACTGCTGCCATTGTGGTGCTCCAAAATTAGACATGGCTGCCCAACCCAGGACCCACAGAAATGCTATTTTTCCCCGGGTGACACCAGCTACAAAAGCCTAGGTGGATGGTGGCAGATGGCTGTGGCTCATGATGGATTGGGTGTCCCAGAGGACCCTCTGAGGGCAAAGCAGACATGGTGGCAGGCCGGCATTTTTCTTTTTTTTCTCTCTCTCTCTCCAGGGGTGAAACACTCATAGTCTGGAGCTCACACCTGTTCTCTGCACTCCACGTGAGGTTTCCCTGTCAGATTGAGTGAACATTGATTCATTAGCTTTTCTGTCCTGGATATTCCATATTTAGTCCCCAGCTTGTCCTGGGGATTGTCAGTTTGGCTTAAATTATCTTTATGTTTAAAGAGTAGGGAAAGTGATGTTTCACCTTAATTTTGTTTTTCAGGCAGACGTCCTCCAAACATCGTTAGTTAGCTAGGAAGGCAGCGGATAACCTTCATGAATTTGTGGATGTGAGAGTTATGTGCTACTGGCGTGTTTTCCTTCCATGTCATATTTGGTATTAGGGTCCTGTTCCTTTCTTCTGTGCCAAAAAGATAAAAACACTGCTGAGAAATCCACATTTGTCACAGTGGAGTTAAGTTGTGGGAGGACAGCATTAGGAACTTCTATGTTTTATTCCCAGATTAAAGTTGATTGGGGTTGTTATGTTTTGTGTAGAGTTTTTTGGAGGCGTTGCCCTTTCTTAGAACATCATGTGATTTAGTGGTGATAATTAGGCAGAAACTTGTCTTCCCTACAGATGCCAAGATTATAGAGGGACTTACTCTCACCAGAGACCAGATGACAGCATCCATAGATATTTTTAGAACGGGTCTCATCATTTGGCTTCCCCATTTCATTTTCCTTGCATCAACAGTTTGATTTCAAACTTATTTATTTATTGGGCATGGGGGGGGGAAGGGAAGGGATCTTTTCCCTAGTAATGAAAGTCACTGATGGGACAAGACAATATTTTCTTTCTTTTCTTTTCTTTTCGGACATTTTCATATTTATTGTTAGTTGGCCTATTGCCTAGTAACTGCAAAGTGATAGCTATAATTCCTTTCAGCTGTACACTTTCTTTTCCTTCCAGAAATTTTGCTTAATCTGATGTGTTTTTAAACTTAGAATCGGCATACTTAGACTTCTGTTTACTTAAATATCTTAACTTTCAATAACGTTTAAGAATGGGGGACTTCATTGAAACCTGTCCCTATCTTGAGGATCGTTAAGTTCCCAGCTCAGTAGCTGGTGTCATGATTTAAAGTCTCCCTCTATTCTCTCAGTCATTGACGGAGTCAGATAAACATGTGCACACAGCGAGCCACCAAAGTACGGCTGAAAATCTGAAAATCTAAGGCGGATAAGGAGCTGGGTTCTTTGTGACTATTTTTAATCATGAGGTCTTCCTACTGAATGGTGATTCTTGTGTTCCTTTTGGAAGAATATTTGTATTTCTGTTCAGCCTTTATCTGATTTCTTTATATTTTCACAATATTTTAACAGTCTGTTTGCTTTCTGTTGCAGAGAAAACAGGTCACCTTTCTGTCCTATGGAGTGGGATTTCCTTATTACATTTGTCCTTGGGAGAGCTGCCTCTGAACCGGAGCATCTCCTTTCCTGGCTCCCCTCTAAGCACATGAGGTTTCCTGAGCAGGCTGGGAGGCATGGCCTGAGAGACCCCCAGGGAGCACCAGGACTCAGTGCCACAGGGGCCCTGAGCCCATTCTGCAGAAATGGAAGGAGTCCTGATCAGTGCATCTCCTTTTTAATGATGATATTCCCTGAAGATTTGGGGCCTTTTGATGAGGGAATGTGTATTTGGCCTCGGAATTGTTGTTGGCTGTTGCTCCAGACTGCCCAGTGTGGGCCTCTTGCCCCTGATTAAAGGGCTGCTGCCCTGTTCTGCTTAGGATGATGCCATGTAGGGGGTTATAGGTGCCCTCTGCCTTCTTTTCTCCTATGCTGACCCAGCTTCAGCATGCTCTGCCTCTGTACTTGGGGAATGAAGTGTGTCACCTTCCCAGTGTGCACTGGTTTCCATGGCTGAATAATTAATACCGGAGGGAACCAGGATGGGATGGGGCCTGAATTAGGTAATGCTTTACAGCTTCTCCCTTGGCACCTGGGGACCGTAGTCCCTTGATGACTAATTGCATAGTGATGTTAGATTGTGGCTTATGAAGTGTTACCGTGAAGGAAAAAATCCTACCCTTCCAAAGAACCATGTCTGTCTGTACCCCTGTCCATTCACTCCTCAGAGGGTCCCAGCTAGAATAGCACTGGCTGGCTCTAGAGGCCAATTCTTCACGGATACTTAGATTGGTATCTATTTCAGCCGCTTTTTTTTTTTTTTTTTAACTAATCTCTACACCAGCATGGGGCTTGAACTCACAACCCTGAGATCAAGGATCACATGCCCTACTGACTGAGGCAGCCGGGAACCTCTGTTTTAGCTTTTTCTTGCTCTGAAATCAACCAGTTCAGGATAATACTGTCTAGTACCTTTACAAAACAAAAAAATCCCCATCAGCCGGGGAAACTATCTACTGGGGACGGGCAGGAGGGGGGCCTTTTTTTCCTTCTTTCTTGTCACTGCCTCTGATAAAACCACCGAAGTACTTCTATTTAGAACTATAACAAGGGTACTTGTGGCCGTGGGTATGTATCATTACAAATACTAAGCCCTGCTGTCTTTGTGAATATTGGTAGTGAGAGGTAAGGTTGCCAAGCAGTCCAGCCACAGAAGAGTTTGAAGTCATAAGTACATTTTGTGAAAATTCCAAATGAACTCACGGTAATATCTGGTCTAAAGAGGGGACAGATGAGCGTAACATGTATGTGAGCTTCTGGTGCACATTTCATGACTTGCTTACCCTCTCTGATGAGAAGGTAGGGTCCAGCTTGCTTCACTCCCACTTTTCTATCCATTTCTCTGCCTAGAGCCATTTTTTTCCCCTACCATGACAACTGACACTGTCTCCATAAACAAAAGGTCTTATGTCTTGAAGTCTGTCAGTTCCTTTAGGTACATCTCTGAGTATACTTTTTTTTTTTTTTAAATCCTTTACCTTTTCTGGGCTCAGAGGCCACGTGAAGTCTGCTAAGACACGTAAATTCAGATGGTCTGAGAGGACCTCTTTTGTGTCTCACCATCAAAGACTGTTGAAGGCAAAATAATAATAAGTTGTTAACTGTTAAAGGGATGTTTTGTGGGAGGGTTTTTTGGCCGTGTGTGTGTGTGTGTTATATAATTTTTTTCTCTGCAGACTTTTAATCTAAAAAAAAAAATTCCTAAGACCACTTAGAGATTGCTTACTCCTTTAGTAGTGAGGGAAGTCAAGATGATCTCCACCCAGGAATGTAGATTGATTAATAAGCCTTTGTGGAAAGTGACCCTCCCCTGGTATTGATGGTGAACAAGGTCGGTTAGTCTGTATAGCCAGTGGAAGAGAGCCAGAAAAGCTTAGCTGGTCTGCTTAGGGTGACCAACTTTTCTGGGTTTTTAAAACTTTTTTTAAAAGATGTTATTTATTTATTAGAGCAAGAGCAAGCGAGAAAGAGAACACAAGCGAGGGGAGAAAGGGAGAGGGAGAAGCAGACTCCTTACTGAGCAGGGACCCTGATGCAACTTGATCCCAGGACCCAGGATCATGACCTGTGCCAAAGGCAGACATTTAACCAACTGAGCTACTCAGGTGCTCCACTTTTCTGGTTTTATCACGAAAGTTCCATGTCCTAGGACACCCCTCAGTCCAGAAGTCTAGAGCAAAACCCCATCTGCACCCTGGACTTCCCTAACTTAAAAGAATCTACTAATGGGGTACCTGGGTGGCTCAATCAGTTAAGCATCTGACTCTGTTTTGGCTCAGATCATGATCTCAGAGTAGTGAGATCAAGCCCTGCATTGGACTCTGTGCTCAGCACAGACTCATCTTCTCCCCTTCTCCCTCTCCCCAGTTGCATTCTCTTTCTCTCTCTCTCTCTCTCTCTCTCTCTCTCTAAGTAAATAAATAAATCCTTAAAAAAAGATTTTTAAAAAGGGCCTACTAAAACACCCCTAACTTGCCTTAACCCCCTCCCAAAATGACCTCATTTCCTCTAGACTTTTTCAACTTGAGGGCATCTTGTAATCAAGCCCAGAAATAAGGTAAGTAGTCACCATGCTTTGTGCTTAGGTTTTCAGACTTTTGAAGCTAGTGTAGCAGAACAGCTTTACTGTGAGTACCCTTAGTTCGAAGGTGAGGACAGGAGACAGGAGGCTGGTGAAGCATGACCTAGTGGTGCCCACGATTGCTGTTTGAATGTCCTTAATCATCTCTGGTTTTCTTTTCTCCTCCTGCAGACCCTCAAACTGACACAAGACCTACAGAGAAACCCTTTGCCAAATCTGCTCTCAGCAAGTGGACAGTGATACCGTTTACAGCTTAACACCTTTGTGAATCCCGCACCATTTTCCTAACCCAGCAGAGACTGTTAATGGCCCCTTACCCCGGGTGAAGCACTTACCCTTGGAACAGAACTCTATATAAAGTATGCAAAATCTTCCTTGTACAGGGTGATGAGCCACCTGCCAGCGAAGGACAGCACCCTGTCAGCACCACCCACCCTCATTCAGAGCACACCGTGAGCTCCTGTTGGCAATTCTGTGGTGTATTCATATCACGATGGTTTATGGGATGTTTTAAGTGTCGTTTTTGTGTTTGTTTTCCTTTGACTTTCTGAGTTTTTCACATGCATTAACTTGCAGTATTTTTATGTTAAAATGTTAATCATCCTTCCCCTGGCAAATTTAAAAACAGAAGGAAAATGTTGTACCAGTTACTATTCTGGCTTTGGGCATCACAAGCATTTGAGCCCTTGGAACTCCATAAACTAACAAATTACATAAACCAGAGGGGGATTTTCTTTCTTCTTTTGTTTGGTAGAAAAACTATCCTTTTCTAAAAACTGCACAATGGCACACTGTTTGCCGTGCACACCAGTCCAGGACTGACCCCTGCATAGGCACAATGAATGGAGTGCAGCATGCCACCCAGCGTGTTTTCGTTCTGAGCCAGGTGGTTGGGGGCGGTGGGGGGCGACGGTGAGACCCCCAGCACCTGGTCTGCAGTTGCCAGATCAGTAGGGCCTCTGGTCTCCTGGCAATATCCTCAGCTAATGCAGTGAATAGTGAAGGTGTATGGTGGTTAGAAATTAGGATCTTTTCAAGAAAGAAATCAGCTCAGCTACCCACTCATTGCCAAATGCCACTAAAGGATTTAGTTTTAAGGAGAAAAGAAAAAAAAAAGTAGTCCTGTTTTGCTTTGCAGAAGAAATGAACTTACAGGTGAGCATTAAGCCTGCAGCGAGCAATGTGTGAAAAGTACAAACCAGAGTCACTATTTTCCTAAAATACCCTTGATTATTTTCAGCCTTGCTGTGTATAATCTGATCTACTAGACATGTGTGAGTGAGAGGCAATAGCATACAAACTGATTTTTATATATATATACACACACAATCTAATATATAAAAGCTTAGATTGTAATCGTACAAATGACACAATGGAAGTACAAGGTAGGGCAGTTTTGACTTGTTTTCCCCCACTTTTCTGCTTCTGTGGATTTCATTTTGTTTTGTTTTCAAGAAGTTATGGTGCTGTATAGGTGCTTTCTGTTTAACCTGGAAAGTGTGATTATGTTAGTTACTCTCTTTGGTAGACCGAATAGTTGGGAACACCTTTGGTACATGTAATGAAGCTCTGATTAGCACAGCGTATGCATACTTCTCCAAAGTGATATATGAAGACTCTTTTCTTTGCATAAAAAGCATTAGGTATATAAATGTATAAATAAATTTTACCATGTACAGTACAAAAATGGAACATTCTGCATGGACATTAGGAATACAGGCTAGTATTTCAGCACAGACTTCCCTGCATGAGTTCTCGCTGACGCTTGCACCGTGCAGTGGGCACTGACTCCCTTCCACCAACACAGACGTGCCACCCGACCCCCTGCACTTACCACCCGCCGCCAGGGGCCCCCTTGTGCACCTTTGCTTTATAATTCCTCTGGGGGTGATATTGGTGGTGATAACAGCTCCTAGCGTAATGAAAGTTCCATTTGGTATTGTCACACATCTCTCCCGCCTCGCCGGGGTCGTCCTGTTTGAGTGATGGCCCTGTTGATTTCACCCTGCCTTTTACTGAATCTGTAAATTGTCGTGCAATTGTGGTTATAGTAGACCTGTAGCATATTGCCTTTTCTAAACTGCTACACGTTTATAATCTTCATTTTAAAAGTATGTATAATTTTTAAAAGTATGTATTCTATTCACGTGGTCTGCTTGTCAGTGAGACAGACGTTTTGCTTACTGTGTTCCTTTATGATAATGCTCGCCACTTCCTTGACTCTTCAGTAGTCCGCTGTACACAGGAACTGTCTGGTATCACTGAAAGAAGGCTACCTCTTGGGTTCCTAGGTGATGCTGCCCAGGTGGGGGATGCAGTTGGGACCCAGCTGCAGCAGCTGAGGGGATGGAAGGGTGGAGGGAGGTCAGATATGCGGAGAACCCGGAGCGCTTACAGTGTGAGGGCCCTGAGAATTTCTCTCCTGAACTCAAAGAAACAAGCAAACTAACAAAATTAGCTATTTGCCTCTGCAGTTTTATAGACCCTGGGAGCTACTTTGGGAGTCAGAAAAGCAACTCTCAAATATGTTTCAACTTTAAAATGTTGAATTCCTTTTGGACATGTGGCATCTCATTTATTCTCCTTTTTTCTGTGTTTGTTAGATTTCAGGCAGAATGTCTTACAAAATGTCCTAGAACCAGATTATAATTTAATCTAAAACAGCTGAGGGAGGGACAGAGGAGGCATGAGAGCAGGGCAGCCACAGAGTGAGTGCATCAGGAAAATGAAGGCGGTGGGGGGGGGGCAGCTTTAAATGTGTTGGCTTTGTGTTTTTTAATAATGCCAGTAGCATCTACACGTAGAGAGAGCATTGTGGGGAGCCGAGATCAGGACAAAGGCAAGTGCCAGCCTCAGTTTCGAGGGAGTCCGGCAAAAAGGGAATAGTAGGCCTATGCAGGGTCACAGCAGCGCCACTTGGAGCCTGGCTACTGCCAGCTGGCCATCCGCCCAGAGGCCAGGCTCCCTTAGGCTCACCAGGTAGTGTTGCAGGGGTCCGACAGGGCCGAGGTGCAGTGTAAGGCCTCTGTCTCTTATACCAAGACCCTGCTTTCTTTTTTTTTTTAATAAATTAATTTTTTATTGGTGTTCAATTTACCAACATACAGAATAACACCCAGTGCTCATCCTGTCAAGTGCCCCCCCTCAGTGCCCGTCACCCATTAATCCCCACCCCCCGCCCTCCTCCCCTTCCACCACCCCTAGTTCGTTTCCCAGAGTTCCGAGTCTTTATGTTCTGTCTCCCTTTCTGATATTTAAGACCCTGCTTTCAAGGAGGGCCAGCTGTTGGCCCCCATGTGGATTCTGAGTGTCCCGGGTCCCTCAGTAAGTTTTCTGAGCTGGAGCACTCGGTAGCCTCCAGGGGCCCGACAGCTCTAAGGCTTGCATCCTGGTGAGCACTCTTCCAGGCCGTCCCCAGCCTCTAAACACGCTGCTCTAGGGAGCCTTCCTCTTTTTGCCGGGAAATTAGAAGAGTAACTAATGTTGAATACGTGACATGCGCTCTGGGGTTCTTGTATCTCTCTTCGAGCTCCAGAACCAGACACCTTTGACCAAAGTTAGAAAAGAGCTTTATCATAAGCCTGCCCTGTCCTGGCATGAGACCCGCCTGCCAGGTTCAGCACACCCGATAACTGTGAATGGAGCCGAGCTCCATCTCCTTTATTGCATCCCCTGCAATGTAATGAGTGCAGAAACACTTATTTTTTAAAAATTTCGGAAGTTTGTCTTTCCTGTTAACAGGAGGGTTGTGCACACACACGTGGCACAAGGTGGGCTTTGTGTGTGTGTGTGCGTGTGTGTGTGTTTGGTGTTGAGTTTGCGTATTGTGTGTGTCTCACGTCACCACCCAGAGGTGAGGACCTCATGGCTCACAGCTCAGGACAGCGCTGTCCAGTCTCAGGATGCCGTTTCAGGTGGCTGCGATCTGGTTAAAGACGGTAGGGACAGGCTGTGCCTACAGCCGGTGGACCCCGCTTACAGAAGAAGGACCGTTTGGATCTCTTGGGAAGACTGTCCAGGGGAAAGCAGTCCAACAGCCAGTCGTGTGTCGTGTGCTGATGCCATGGGCTGCTGAGGGGAAATACAGATGTCACCCTTTCTGAAAGCAGAAGCAGAACCCTGATAGCTCTATACCTGATTTCCTTTTTCTCGATGTATTTGGGGAAACATTGTACGATTAGGCCTACTGTTGTGTTTTTTGTTTTTTGATTTAGCAGAGTTTTTTTGTAGAAATGCAATCACTGGCAAAGAGGTACGAGAAAGCCAGCCTCTCCTGAAGACTGGGGGCAGCAGGCACAATGAGGGGAAAGTGGGGCCCTCGTGAAGTCCCATCTGCATGTAGGATCTTAACGCAGACAGCCAAGTAACTGAAAAGAGTATATTCTATTTGATCTAAATCTTCGGTGGATAAGATTTTACGCAGTTTGAATGAATGAAATATTTTCCTCTTGTTTTCTATTTGTGTATTTTTCTTTGATGAGTGATTGGTTCTGAGGCCTCTGGCACACTCCGGAATTAATTTGTGTGGCCGCTTTAAAAAACTGTGTGTTTGGTCACTTATTTCTCTAAAATTATCTCATTGCCTGGCAATCAGTCTTCTCTCGTATACTTGTCCTAGCACATTATGTACCCGGGAAATGTAAACAGATGTGAAGAAGGACCAGAAAAATTAGTTAATATTAAAAAAATATATTGTGCGTTTTGGCTTCACATGTTTAACTTTTTTTAAGAAAAAAAGTTGCATGAATGGAAAAAAAAATCTGTATACAGTATCTGTAAAATTGTCTTTACCTGTTTCAATTTCTTGCTCATACCCCATTCAGACTAGAATTAAATATGGTGCATGGCCATATTCTAACACCTAAGAGTCAAGCAGTTGATACTTTGGTTTGAAGCACCTCATCCTTTCTTTCCAAGCGAACACTATCATATTGCATTCTTACTGAGGATTTTGTCCAACCATCTGTTGCCATGAATTAACTCTACCGCCTTTCTTCTCAAGAATCAAAACCAATTTGATTTGGGAATCTTCCCCTTTCCAAATGAAATAGAGATGCAGTACTTAACTTTCCTTGGTGTTTGTAGATTTTGCCTTGTGTATTCCATTTAAAACCGTAATCTAGTTTGTAAAAGAGATGGTGACGCATGTAAATAAAGCATCAGTGACACTCTGTCTCACTCCAAGAAGTCTTTTGTTCCCCCTCCCCCTTTAACTTCAGATGTCGAAGGGCTGCATTTACGTCAAGGTCTTGGTGTGGAATTACTTCATGGGCTGGTCGAGGCAGGCAGCCTAGAGCCTCTGTCATGAGCTCTCTAAACCGAATGATCTAGCAAACTTTGTCTCCAGCCAATCTTTGAGCTCCACAGACAACCAGACAACTTAATAAAAGTAGATCAGATCTATGGCATTGTTCATGGTAGCTGATAGTCACTTTGGTGTCCATGGAGGCACATTGCCCTGGAGGAGCTTTTAAGGAGGGGAGCGGGATGTAGACTCTGCCTTCACGGAGTGTCGGATTTTGACCTATCAAAGCTTTGGCCCTAATAAGGTCCTCCTCGTGTGAGTGCAGCAGGTGAACATGGGTCCTCGACCGAGCGCCCCTGCATATTGGAAATCAGGCCTCTCGCGGCAACGGAATACATACTTCCTCGGTATGTACATTTAGGGCCTCTCTTTGAAGTGAGGGGGAGCTCTGCCCTATTGTAAAACTAGCCCTCGTAGCCTGGGTGGTATTTTTCATTTTAATACACAAAAGAAATTCAGTTTTAGAGACTCCCTAGGATCGGGTTCAAAGTCCCAAGGAACGTGATGGACTCATTTCAGATCAGGTAAGTATTTTAACGTGTGCCCTTTGGAAAATAAAGGTTTGCCCTTTGGGTTGAATTTTATATTGGTGGAGAGTCATGCTTTCAGAAGTGTCCTTGTTTTAATTACCTACGAAGGTAAAAACCTCACCGTCTTCTAACACCAAAGCCATCTGGGAGAAGGTGTATCATTCGAGATTGCTCCCCAGTTTTGATTTTGTTCTCCCAAAAGATTAAAGATGGAAATCTAATCCTAGCTATCATAAGATTCACAGAGTTCTCCCAAACCACGTCAAAATTCAACCAAAAAGCTAATTAAAGTTAATGATCAACAATTACTAAGCCAAGGGTGGCCGTGGGCCAGCTGTGATGAGCACCAGGAGGACGAGGCCCGGGCCCTGCCCCCATGAGTTTGTACTCAGGTATCTGCTCCACTTTGACGAATAAAGGGGGGCTCTTGCTGACTCCCCGCTTCAGCTTCTTGCTTGAAAGAGGGAGAATTTGCTCTCCTCTCTGTAAGGCCTCAGGGATTCGATTTTGCAGATCAAATTCAAGTAATGAGGGTAAGCCTTTCGACTAGCAAATTCCACCCGCGGCAGCCCAGTCGCGCACACCACAGCGGGAGTCCGGGGCTGGGAGGCAGGGGAAGGTAGGGCGCGGGCCAGTGCGCCGGGCACCCCACCCCCTTGCGGGCACAGCCAGTCCCCGGGCCGGGGAAGGGGAGAGCTGGGCCCGGGGCAGTTCAGAGGGGCCTCTCGGAGGGCGCACGGGGGATGGTGAGCAGACGGGGCTCAGCGTGTTTCTGGACCTATTTCCACAACGTGCCGCCCGCAGAAAATGATGATGTGCGCTGCCCGCTGGGAAGACCGGGCGGCCGCCCAGGTCCCGGCCCACACCGCAGGCCCGGGCCACCCAAGGGCTGCCGGGTCAGGAGCTCGCCGCACCCTTGCACCCTGCAACTGAGGCAGAGCCCCGATCTAGTGCACGCACAAGCACACACACACACGCACACGCACCCCTTGGTTAAGTCTGTGGGATGCAGGCAAGGCACTTCGGCTTTCAACTCTACCTTCTGTGCGATTTTACTTTATCAAAGTTGTAGTGTGTTACTTTTATAAAGATAAATACAGTTTCTTTCTCTCTTTCTTTCTTCTCTTCTTTTAAAGTATTTTTTTAATTTATTTATTTATGATAGTCACATGAGAGAGAGAGAGGCAGAGACACAGGCAGAGGGAGAAGCAGGCTCCATGCACCGGGAGCCCGACGTGGGATTCGATCCCGGGTCTCCAGGATCGCGCCCTGAGCCAAAGGCAGGCGCCAAACCGCTGCGCCACCCAGGGATCCCTCTTCTTCTTTCTTTTTTTCTTCTTTTTTACTATGTACAGTTTCATGTCAGGACCTGTCCCCAGAAGACAAATATCCATTGTATCTGGCAGTTGGGTTATGGAATTTTTGGTCAAAATTATCTTCATCTTGTTGCATTGTAATTTTAAATATTTTGGAAGGTAAACATTTTGCATTCACGTGAGGCAAGGTGGAAAGGCCAGAGCCCGGCCTTGATTCCTCTTCTAAGACCGTAAAGAATGAGGAATAAGGTGGGAGAAGGGTTTTGGGGTGTAAAAGTGGAGATAACGAGGTCGCTGTACTATTTCAAAGGAATCCGAAAAGTGAATAGTATCATTGCAAAACAGTGTCTCCATAACTTCGGATTTCCATAATTTCATCCTATTAACATCTTGAATATGAGTAGAGGAAATACCTCGTCAGAACAAAGGAATATTATGCATCAATTAAAAGAGTAATTATGAAAGCTATTCATATATATAGAAAACGCTCATATCAGATACGCTCTTAGAAATGTAATTATTGCTGTCATCTTGTAACCTTATATATTAATATAAGAAAAATAAAGAGCAGAATAGAAGTAGTGCTGCCAGTGTAAGCTATGGCTGGGGAGAGGTCCTAAAAGGAAAAATTGAAAGAATTCTTGTGTCCCGGACATTTTTGTCCTCAACGCTGCACTTAGGACCTCAACCGTTGCCAACACGAACTGTTCCTCAGTTTCTCCAACCGAGTCAAAGTCAGAGGGCACCTGAGTTATCAGCGGTGGGAGCCCCACTGGCAGGGGGTATCGGGAACCGAGTCCTGCTCCAGTAGACAAGGAGGGGCCCTTCTTCCCACTGAGATGCACCTGTTGGGTCACTCCAAGTAGGAAGGACCTGTCCCCAGAAGACAAATGTCCATTGTATCTGGCAATTGGGTCATGAAAATTTTTGTCAAAATTATTTTCCTTTTGTTGCACTGTATTTTTAAATACTTTGAAAGGTAATTCAGGCCCAAGATTTAAAAGCCAAAAAGCATATGGATACACAGGGGATGTTTCCTTCCCATCCCTGTCTGGTTCTCAGCCTCTTTCCTCTCCCCTCAAAGGTTATTGCTCATCCCTTCAGAATTTCTCCTGTACCTACAAGCAATAAAAAGCACAAATTCTTATTTTCTCCTTTATATTACACAAGAAGTACATCATATACACTATCCAGGCATCTTACTTTGTTAATGATTTTGTCACACATGGAAAAAATACCAGTCGGGAGGAGGCCTCCTCACTTTTATAGTTACGTAGTATTCCATTGTATTATTGTATCGTAGCTCAGGGAACCATGGGCCCCTATTGACAGACAACATTGTTTCTCGCTGCTTCTTATTACCAGCATCTGCAGTGAATAATCTGCGTATATCACCTACACATGTAGGAACCTTTGTAGGATTAATGGCCAAACTTGGCATCGCTGGGCCAGAGCGTACACATACATTTGCGATTTTAACCAAGATTGACCAAATTGCCCTCCAAGTTCCCAAGTCACGTCACCAACAATATAGCACTCCTGTTTGCCCACCTTCTCATATTTTTTTAAGGTCTTAAGAATGAAATTACAAGTCTTTTCCAGGACGCCTCAGTGGCTCAGCGGTTGGCGTCTGCCTTCGGCCCAGGGCCTGATCCTGGAGACTCAGGATCGAGTCCCACGTCGGCTCCCCACATGGAGCCTGCTTCTTCCTCTGCCCGTGTCTCTGCCTCTCTCTCTCTCTCTCTCTCTCTCTCTCTCTCTCTCTCTCTCTCGAATAAATAAAATCTTAAAAAGTCAAACAAACAAGTCTGTCTTCCCCTCTCCCCCTCCAAGCTTCTTTAAGTCCCAGCTGAGGTAGTGAGGGCCTGGTGACAAGGAGGGATGGGAGGTGGGAGCGGCTCAGGGAGGCAGACTCGGGCAGCCTGGCGACCGCTGGGGAGGGAGGAGGAGTTCTCGGCACTGAGAGCTGAGCAGCCATCCTGGTGCCAGCACGCTGGGGATCGTGCTGCCAACCTGCCCATCCAGTCTGGCCACAGGCTCCACCCCTCACGCCACCAGCTTGGACCGCCCAGCCTGAGGGTCAGCAGCCTGACCTCACAGCTGTGCTCCCTCACCTCCCAGAATTCCAGAAGGGAGCTGTCACCCGAAGGAAACAAGTTTGGTCTCTTTGGCACCAAACCACACACCTAGACCTATTCATAGCAAGGTTGCACAACTAGCTGGAGGGCAACCCGGCTGGGCATGGGGAGGGAGGGCGGGGCCACGTGTGGGCCAGGCCCTGACCCATCGGTGCCCCAGGCTGGCCTTCCAGCTTTCAGAGCAAGGCTGTCCCTGGGGGGTTTGGCAAACTCAGAGGGCCGACTGGCCTGTCCTCCTAAGCGGAAGGAACTTGCTCCTCCGAAGGAAGGCTCAGCTCCAACACTCCTGCAGGCTGGTGCCCCATGAGCCCTCCCTCTGCCCTACCATGCAGGTGGGCCCTTGGGGTGGGAGGGGTGGGGGCTCTCCTTAGTGAACACAGAAACCAGGAGCAGGCTTTTACACAAAAGGAAACTGAGTCACTTGATGACTAAGCCCTTGATGTGGGGAGCCAGTATCATGGAGTAGGAGAGGAAACTCAACTTTGGAACGGGACGGATCTTGATTTGCACCCAGCCCTGTCTAGTCTCTAGCTGAATGATGCTAGGTGAGTCAGTTGGCTTCCCTGGGCCTCTGTTTTCTCTTCTGTGGAATGGGAACAAGGCCTCCAGTGTGGCTGTGAGTTGTGCGGATCCCCTGAGAGCGTGCCAGTGAAGTTCGGCAGCACGCTTCCACCTCAGCAGAAGACCTTGGCCAAGCGTAGTGTCTCTTCACACTCAGCTCATTGGCCCAAACGCTGTGGGATGTGGGATTCCTTTTTTTTAATTGAAATATAGTTGACACACAATACTACAATCGTTCCAGGTGTACAATGCAGCGATTCAACAGGTTTATGTGTCACGCTACGCTCACCGCCAGTGTAGCTACCGCCTGTCACTGAGCAACACTACCGCAGTTCCATCGACTGTGGTCCCTGTGCTGTGCTTTTATCCTCGCGGCCTACTCACTCCACAACTGGAAGCCTGGGCCTCCCGCTGTCCCTCACCCGCTGTCCTGTCTTCCCGCCCTGTCCCCTCTGGCAAACCGTCATTTGCTTTCTGTCTCTATAGGTCTGATTCTGCTTTTTGTTTGTTTGTTTGCTCATTTGCTTTGTTGGGGGGGTGTGTGTTGGTTTTTATCATATAGAAACATAAAACAAACTGTGACGTATTAATGACCCCCCCTCAGTGTAATTAGATGGCGTGGTAATTACACCTGAAAGGTAACCAGCGTGTAAGGCTGTCCTGCTCTCATAATCTTTGATGTTGCTCGGGAGCTGTTGGCGGTCCATGCGTGGCCCACGCTGGGTACCACGGAATCGTCATCGTTATCACAAAGAGAGTGTTGAAAGGCTTGGTTCTTTGGGGCCTGGCTCGGCCCCTAAACATAGTGTGGCCTTGTGGGGGTCCTCCCCCGCCCCCTGGACTTCAGTGTCCCCACCCTCCCCGTCTAGTCACCAGCATCCTGTACGTCGTGGGGCTGTCACCATGCAGCCAGGCGCGGAGCACACCTCTGACGAAGCACAAAGCCGGGGACCAGCCCCACAGGTGCTCTTTGGAGTCGGAGGTCAGTGAACATGAATGCGTTCAGTCTCCAGAAGGGACACCGAGGCAGAGCCCCAGGGGGCGTCAAGGCTTCCGGTCTCTTGCTACAACCCCGGGTCTCCACCCGAGGCCTCCAAGGCCACACACGTTAGGCTGGGAGAGCGGGGGAGGGGGGACAAGGGGGGGTCCAGAGCACCCTCAGGAGATGAGGAAAGAACTGGAGACAGGGGAGAGGGCGGGATGAAGGGGCCCGCAAGGCCCGGGAGGAAGGGCAGGGAGGGCGGAGAGGGGGCGGCCTGCAGGAAGGGCAGCTGTCCCGGGGCCTGAGTGTGTGTGTGTGTGTGTGCGTGCGTGCGTGCGTGCGTGTGTGTGTGTGTGTGTGTGTGTGTGGAGAAAGAGGCCTCTGAGTGGCTGTCCCCAGATTTCCTCCACAGACCCTTTCCTGCCCAGGGCACTGGGGGGCCCTGCCCGGCGTTTGGAGAACTGAATTAGAGAGAACCTACCCTGTGGTCTGAAGCCTCTAATCTCTGTGCCTGTACCTCCCTGTGTGTGAGAGCTCGGGCCTCCTCCCTCGGGCCTCCTCCCTTGGGCCTCCTCCGTCAGGCTTGGCTCTGCCTGGGGCTAGCCCCACTCCGATGGAGGGACAGAGAGCAACAACAAAAGCTTCCCCAGTGCTGGAGCTGCCATTCGGGCCTGGATTTGTACATTCAGGTGCTTGTTGATAGAGGCCATTGTTAACTACAGAACTCAAAGCACATTTAACTTTTTATTTTTTTTCTCATGTATTTATTTTATTTTTTTAAATAAATTTATTTTTTATTGGTGTTCAATATACCAACATACAGAATAACACCCATTGCTCATCCCGTCAAGTGCCCCCCCTCAGTGCCCGCCACACAGTCACCCCCACCCCCGCCCTCCTTCCCTTCCACCACCCCTAGTCCATTTCCCAGAGTTAGGAGTCTTCATGTTCTGTCTCCCTTTCTGATATTTCCCACACATTTCTTCTCCCTTCCCTTCTATTCCCTTTCACTATTATTTATATTCCCCAAATGAATGAGAACATATATTTAAAAAAATGATTTTATTTATTCATGAGAATAAAGGGAAGTACAGAGACACAGGCAGAGGGAGAAGCAGGTGCCCTGTCGGGACTCTATCCCAGGACCCCGGGACCACGTCCTGAGCCAAAGGCAGATGATCAACCACTGAGCCACCCAGATGCCCCAAAGCAAATTGAACTTTTACAGGAGTAAGAAGTCTCTATAATAAAAAATGCAGGATTTGAAAATACTGCTTTGTGGGAGCCTGTGGACTGCTGCTTGCAAGGCCCCTGGTGTAGTGACTCAGTGGACTCAGACTCAGGGATGGAGCTGATCCTCTCCACTCGTCTCCTGGGTCCTGGTCTGTTTCCTGGTGATAATAATAATGCCCTCTTTAGGATTCTTAGGACGATCAGCGTTAACTCATATAAACACCTGCTTATTTATTTACCCTATAATTCAACATATACTCACTGAGAACCTACTATGTGGCAGCACTGGACTGGTTAGTGTTCAAGAGCTCAGGTCTTTCATTTTAGTGATTCATCACCATGGAGCTTCTGCTCCATAGAATATTGCATTTAAAAAAAGAAGCAGAAGAAGAAAGAAAGAAAAGAAAGAAAGAAAGAAAGAAAAGAAAGAAAGAAAGAGAAAAAAGAGCTCAGACTTTAGAAAAAGAAAAGAAGGGAGATGGATGGGCAGTTGGCTTTGCCCGTGTAACCTAGTTAGGTCACCTCACCCCTACACCCATGCAAGGTGGCGATGGCTGCAACTGTCCTGCCTGGCCCTGTTACGGTGAGCTTTAAATGAGATGATACACGATGGTGCTTAGTATCCGGCACAGGGGAAGTGCTAGATCAACTTAGTTATATTTATTAATACATCAGAATCACCCAATAAATCATCGACCATAGATTTTTGTAATTAGGTCCTTAAAATGTAGTCTCTATACCCCTCCAATGACAAAGGAAAGCAGATCTTTCAAAATGTGCCCCTTGGAGCATGTGTATCAGGAAAGCGTGAAGGGAGTCTGCTAAAAATTCCTTGGGTCCATTTCAGAAGTGTGGAATCAGCCTCCAATGGGGCCCGACTTTCTGTCTTTTCAAATGTTTTTCATGATTCTAAAGTCAGAAAACTCTTGGGGGCAAAAGGTCACCATGCTCCTCTACCGAGGGGCACTCTCTGCGGTGGACAGAACCATGCGCCACCCCCCAGATGCCCATGTTCCAGTTCCTGGAAGCTGCGAATGTGTCAGGGTTAGAGGGGTGAATTCGGGCTCTAAGTAGTGAACCTTAATTTTTTTTTTTTTTTTTTTTTTTAGTAGTGAACTTTAAAACAAGCAGATTGCCCAACATACTCCACGGGTCTGTAACTGGAGTAGAGGGAGAAGGAAGAGTCAGAACCAGTGGAAGGGCATCGTGAGGAAGACTCCGCTGGCTTTGAGGGTGAAGGAAGGGCCACAAGCCAAGGAACGTAGACAGTCTCTGGGAGCTGGAAAAGGTGAGGAAACGGGTTCTCCCCTAGAGCTTCCAGAAAGAACAGAGCCCTGCTGGGGATTAGCCCCGTGAGACCCACTCTGGGCCTCTCACTTCCAGGCTCATCATCGCTGGTGCTGCTGTAAGGCCCCAGTTTACGGTGATTTGCTACAGCAGCAGCAGGAAGGCAGATGTTGGATGCCTCTTCGAGCGCATTGGATGCAGGCCTGGGCATCCGGAAGCCCCGTGAGGCCCGGGCATGGGCCCGAGGGGACGCCTGGACCGAGCAGAGCCCGAGGAAGGGGCCCAGTGCTGCGGCCCAGGGCGGTCCCCATGGCTCTTTTACTGTCTGGTGCTCAGGACGCCTATGGAGCAGGGCTCGGGTGCAGGTGGGGGCGCACAAGCCGGAGGCCCAGGGGATCCCCTCACATTTACAACCTCACCCAGGAGAGCCTGAAGCACCTGCATATGCCCAGAACCCTGATGGAAGGGAAAAGAACATGCAGGAGCTCCCAAGTGGAGGGGGGCACTCCTCTCCCCCACTCCCCGATTCTCTGGAGATGGGAACACAAAAGGTGGTTCTCACGCCCACACCGCCCCCCGAGAGTGGGCACTGCCCGGACTCTGGCACCCCTTTGCTCTCCTTGAGCTCCTCTGGCCCTGGACTAGCCCACAGCCCTCCCTGCTCCCTCCCTGCCTGCCGCCTCCGGAGCAGGAGGAGGGGCAGAGGGAGAAGGTGAGGGAGATGCGGACTCCCCGCTGAGCAGGGCTCCCTCCCAGGACCCTGAGATCATGAACTGAGCCGCAGGCAGATGCTTAACCGACTGAGCCACCCAGGCCCTCGATATGGTTTTGTTTTTGCCAAATCTTTGGGCAGTTGAGCCATCCTAACACCTCTACATACCTCAGTGCATGTCTCTCAAATTCCACAGTATCCCTGTGAAGCCAGTACAGCTATCAGCCCCTGAAATATTTGAATGTAAGAATTTAAGGTTCTAAAAATGGAATTACTTGCCCACAACCACACAGACCATAAACAATGGCACTGAGAGCCTTGAGCCCAGGTTCTCACCCTGCCCTCAAGTCCTAGGGTGATCCCAGAAGGCGTGCCTCTGGCTTTGAATCTCATTCTGTGAAAAAACTCAAAGCATTTCAGAGAGAGAAAATTTCATCTTAACACTATTCCCTTAAGGTCAAGCTACCACTTCCAAGAGGTTGGGTAAATTCCAGGATGTTAGGTTCCTGGAAGAGATCCTCGGGGTGCAGGCCCCAGAGGAGCAGATCGTCAAGGCTGCCAAGCCCCTGCCACTTGGAACACCCTCAACACACACCTGAATGCTCTCCCATCCCAAATTGCTATGACATTTTCCTAGTTGCCTACTCACTAAATGTGTGAATAGGGCTTCACCGCCCCCCTTTTACTATTCGACATTCCTTTCTTTAGAATTTTATTTATTTGAGAGAGAGAGAGAGCATGTGTGAGTGAGCATGAGCAGGGGACGGGGCAGAGGGAGAGGGAGAAGCAGTCTCCCCGCTAAGCAGGGAGCCCCGTTGCATGGGACTCAATCCCAGGACCCTGGGATCATGACCTGAGCCGAAGGCAGACACTTAACCGACTGAGCCACCCAGGTGCCCCAATATTCGACCTTCTTAAAGTCTTATTTTTTAAAAAAAGGTTTTATTTATTTATCCACGAGAGACAGAGAGAGAGAAGAAGAGACACAGGCAGAAGGAGAAGCAGGCTCCATGCAGGGAGCCCAATGTGGGACCCGATCCTGGGCCTCCAGGATCACGCCCTGGGCCAAATGAAGGCAGGCGCTAAACTGCTGAGCCACCCAGGGATCCCCTTCTTAAAGTCTTATTTTATTTTTTACAAGATTTGTTTTTAAGTAATCTCTATACTGAACGTGGGTATGGACAGAGCCAGCCCCCTTAAGTCCTATTTTAGCTTTACGCATCAGAAATGGGGAAATGTAGGTCTGTTCAATAAAAGATGAAATAAAAAAGGGGAGGGGCACTTAACTGGCTTAGTCAGAAGAGAATGTGACTCTTGATCTTGGGGTCGTGAGTTCGAGCCCAAGTCCCCGTAAAGCAGGAGACAGGCTAATTGTCTTCATCTTACTGGTAGAAACTCCAAGGCATAGAAAGAGTTTCCTGCTCACAAAAGAATTTAATTCCCAAATAATGAAGAAAGGCTGAATAGTGGGCCTCTAAATGTTGGCCCTCAGCCACCTGAACCCAAACAACCTGGGAAGCTTGTTTAAAATGTAGACTCCAGGGTTTACCAGAGAACCAGGTCACCTGGGAATGGGGCCCTCTTAACACCCACCCGGATGGTTGTTGCCAACCCAAGCCAGAGAACTGGTGACCAAATCCCCAGATTTCTCCACTATTCTAGGCTACACTACTCTACCTCACACTATACTATGGGACTCCCTGCCAAATGGCTCTACTTTCTTGGTGACCCATTTGTAAAGATTCTGAGTAGTTTATCTGTGAACTTTTAAAAAAATCTTGTTTAATTTATCTGCCATAAAATTCACTTCTTTTGGTATATGGTTCTGAGTTTTCTTTGTTTTTGTTTTTAATAAACTCCTCTTTTTTTTTAAAGATTTTTAGAAAAATGTATTCGTGACAGACACAGAGAGAGAGGCAGAGACATAGGCAGAGGGAGAAGCAGGCTGGACTCGATTCCAGGACCCCAGGATCATGACCCGAGCCAAAGGCAGATGCTCAACCACTGAGTCACCCAGGTGCCCCTGGTTCTAGGAGTTTTAACAAATGTGAAGAGTCCTATTAACCCCACCACAATCAAAACACAGAACCTGTCCATCACCCCCTAAAACTCGTTTGTGTCACTCCCTTCTAGTCAAATCCTTCCTGAAACTCACCTCTGGTAATAAGGAACTGATTTGTTCCTCGTCCTATGGTTTTGCCTTTTCCAGAATGTCATATAAATGGAATCATACAATACAGAGCCTTTGCAGTCTGACTCCGTTTTGCATAAAGCATTTGTTGCATGTAAAAGTCTTTCATCCTTTTGCTGCTAATACTCTGCGGTGTGAATGTACCATAAGTCTATCCTCCCAACCCAAGGACTTTGGGGTTGTTTCTGGGCTTTGGTGATAAACTCAATGATCCAAGTTTAACTAACTGATTCTTTTCCATGGGAGAGTAAAAAAGTCTCAAACGGTGCCTATGATAAGGGAGGGTAGTAGGTTGAAGACAATGGCTCACATCTGGCTCCTGCCAGTGGGTCACCTGTTTGTTTGTTTATTAAGATTTTATTTATTTATTCATGAGAAACACAGAGAGAGAGAGAGAGAGAGAGAGGCAGAGACACAGGCAGAGGGAGCCTGACACGGGACTCGATCCTGGAACTCCAGGATCATGCCCTGGGCCAAAGGCAGGCGCTCAACTGCTGAGCCACCCAGGCGTCCCATGGGTCACCTGTTTAATGGGCCAGGTTCAGTCATAGAGGACTTGTTTGTCGTTATGATAAACCTTCTGGTCTTCCAAATCATAAAAATAACAGGGTCTTACAGAGTGCCTCAGAGCCTGTTTCTGACAAATGAGACGATAGGCTCCTGGCATGCAGGCTCCAGAAGTCACTGTGAGATCACCTGGGTGGACCTCTGTTGTCTTAGAAGATGCTGTGTCCCATGGCAGAGTCAGTCATCAAGCATCTTTCTCTACGGTTCATGATGCTTTTGCCCAGCTGGATCTATCTGACTTTCCAACAAGCCCAAGAGGGGAGAAAGGAAGATATTTTTACTTGCACCATTTTGAAGATAAGGTTGTGGGAGCTCAAGGAAGCTGGCACTTGTCCAAAGTCAATGAGCCCCCTTGGTTAGGGAGAAACTGTGGTTTTTCCAATCCTCAATCCTCAATCCAGTGTTTTCTGGTTTTAAAGTTTTTGTTTTTTTGTTTTTTTTTTTTTTTTAAGAGCAGTGAGTATGTCTTTAATCTGCACATATGACAACCGACTCTTGCTCAAAGTGGAGGGTGGGCAGAAAGAGAGCAAAACCGAGTTTCAGTCCCACCTTGGCTTGCTGGCCTTGATGCTCCCCCAAGACGGATGAAGCAATTCCTCCCTCCTCGTTAGTGCTCAAAGCTGAGAGGTCTCAGACGAGCTAATAATGCCGGCGGGTAAGTCATACCAGGTTCTCCGTAAGTGGCTGCAATTATTATTAATTTGGTGTTAATTAGGAGAGACTCTAGAGCGCGCATACCACAGGCACCGCGTGGTGGGTGCCCTCTGCCCCCGCTCACCCCCCGGGGTTCCTGAGGCCTAACTTTTCTCTGGGAGGGATGGGGGAAACCAAGGGGTTAAAGAGGAGGCCTGGAAGCTGGCACAGCTGGGGACCCCTGGGTTATAAGGAGAGGGGGGCGGGGGCCGGGGGGCCTGAGCGGCCTCCGTGGAGGAGACGTGGGCCGAAAGCTTTGTGCTTCTCCTTCCTGAACCCGGCCTTAACTCCAGAGGGGAGGCCTTCGTGTCTGAACTTGGTGTTCGAGCCCTGGCGCTGGTGGTTCCCGCAGTAAATGGCTCGCCCTCCTCGTGGGGCAATATTGCTACTGATGTTGGGCCAAGGTGGTTAGGAAACGGGATCTTCCAAATGGGGACTTTGTGGTCTGGCCACCAGGCAGCTGCGCCTCCACACGCGCAGGTGGGGGCTGAGACGGTTCCCCGCAGGGTGCGGCTGGAGGGGAGAGCGGGGTCGCTCTGCCGCCTTCCCAGCAGCTTCAGCCTGTGTTGGGGCCTCAGACCCCGGCCCGGGGCGGGGGTGGGGGGGGGGGGTTGGAGGACAGGCGGGGCCCTCAGCAGCCTCCTGACAGCCAAGAGCAGGAGACCAGGGAGCCAGGGTGACTGCCAGGGTCCTCTGACTGCCTGTCCCCACAGCAAGGGCCGCTGGGCGAGGGGTCAAGGGGTCAAGGGGTGGACAGGCAAGGCCTCTTCCGGCCTGCCCGCCCTCGGCCCTGTGTCCCCTCCTCCGTGCAGCCCTCGTCACCCCGCGGGGCTGGCTGCGCCCCCAGAGCACCTGCCACGTGCAGCTATGGCAGCTGCTCTGGACACGCTGGAGAGGCCGAGTGACTCTGAAGAGATGAGAGGCGTGTGCCGATGGCATCCAGGAGCCCGGGGCTTCCGAGCAGGGCCGGCCTCCTCTGCGTTCCCCGGAGTGGCAGGTAGGGCCCGCGCTTGCTCCCGCCGTCCTTGGAGTGTGGTCTCCCCCGAAACCCCCCTTCCCCAGAAGCAGGGCGGACTGGCCTGGCCGTGGGCCCGCGCCATGTTGGTCGCCGCCGCCGCCACGGCGGGCCAGGCCCTCCCCTCAGCTCTGCTGTCCCCTCCAGTCGGCCGGGCGGCCAGGGACGCTTGTTCACTGAGCGCGCTGACCTCGTCCTTGGCCGCGGCCTCAGGCCTGGCCCTGCGGTGCTGAGGTAACAGCGCTGGCTGCTCGGGGCGGGCGCCTGCAAAGGAGCCGAAGCACGTGAGCCGGGCCCTGCCGTGCGCTGGGTGACAGGGAGGGCGGGGACGGGAGGGGGCCCTGTCCGTGCTCCCCCGGGCCGTGGACAGCTCATGACGACCCGGAGCTGTGAGAAGAGCTGGGTTGGGACCAACGGCCCAGGGTCCCCAGGATCCCCGGACGGCAAGGCCGCCGCCCCCTCTGGACTTGCCATTCACGTGGTGTGCCCCCTCGTCTCCCCGGGCTGGGTGGCCTGTGGCCCCAGCAGGCCGGCTCTCTCCTTCCAGGCAGCGAGGCGGCGGGAAGGGGCTCAGGATCCAGTCTAACTGAGCCACCTAGACATTCCGTTGACCTGCAGAAGCTTCGATGTCCACAAACCCAGTTGCCGATGTTCCCTCATCCTCCTTGCCCGAGACGGTTGGCTACACACGAAACCGTGACGTGTGTCCTATGACGGCCTAGACAGTTACCTCAGCGTTGGCCAGAGCTTCGCATTCTTAGCCACACGAGGCTCCAGAGGGGCATTCAGCAGGACCCCGAAGTCCTGGATGTCCTGCAGGCCGAGAGCGAGAACATTCTAGAGCCGGGGGCTAGGAGGCACAGTAGGGATGCAGGGTGTGGAGGGGCCTGAGCCCTGGGCCCGAGTCCCGTCTCCCTGAAGTGTGCCTCTCCACAGACTTCGGACCCCGGGGCCTCTGGGGGCCGCCCCCGCTCCTCGGACCCTTGTCCTACCCTGCCCACCGCCTAGCGTCCCGTGGCAAACCCCGAAGGCCGGGCGCCGAGGGCGAGCCCTGGGACGCGTCTCCCGGCTCAGGCCAGAGAGAGGAATCCTAGGCCGTAGCTATTTTCAGCACTAAAATTGAAGCCCATGGTTTATTTCCTCAGCACGTAATTAGACTCCAGCGCGGCACAGGGCTGCCTCCTTCCCGCCCACGAGCGAAAGCCTGACCAGTGGGTTGGGGAGCTGACGCCATGGACGGGCGGGAGGCTGCGGCCTGGAGTATTTTTACTTATGGGAGGCTGTGGAGAACAAAACCACTGGGCCCCGGGCCAGTTAGACTCAGCCAGTTGGGGGAGGGAGGGAGCAGGAGAGCTGTTCTGTCAGCCTTCCTTCTTTGAACTGCCTCGTGAATCTGCTAGACAGGAACCGGGGATTGGGAGCCGGGCTGGTTCCCACCACCCTCAGAGCCTGGCTGGGGGGAGGCCTGTCCTCAGGGAGGAGGGGGAAGACTCACCTGGGGGTGGGGGAGGAGCAGTGTGCTCTCACGAGGGCACACGGGGGGTGTTCACACCCGGTCAGGCCGGGTATGGGGTGACTGTGCATGATTCTGGGCCGGCTTCAGGTCCTCCACCTAACACCACTATCATGGATAAGGTTTTCAGAGCTGGAAGGAAACCCAAGACCCTTCAATGAGGATGTCACGGCCAATAGGAAAAATAAATTACCCAAAGCCTAATGAGAACCGGAAGTGGGGATGGGGCGAGAGGATCTGCCTGGAAGATGGCTCTTCCAGGGCTCCCCTTCTTCCTGCTGACTCTTGGCTTTCGTTCCGGAGCAAAAATAGGTGTAGAATGCAAATACACTCGGGCAGAATGACACATGACTTCGGTTCACGTGAAGAGCTAAATAATAGATGTTTAGTACTTTCTCAAGGAGACATTTCAGTGAGTAGGAGACCCCTGAGCCCCGTGGAGGAGCTCTTCTGACCACACGAGGTGGGAGGCCTCATCCATTCATGGTCAACCTCGGACCGTGGCAGCTGCAGTGTTTCTGGAGTGAGGAGCTGCAGGGAAGATGAGACCTGTGACGTCTCTGAAATAGAACCAGTTTCTTGCTAAGGAGAAGCGCAAAACGGAAACCTGGCCAATGACTCCCCATAGTCATACATTGTGCAACGTTTCTCCCAAAAGGTCTGGATCCCAGCTTTAGGAGCGCCATCACTGTGGGATTAAACTCCTGCTCATCCGTGGAACCACAGAACCTCCTGTCTTCCACCTCTTCGCTCCCCTCCCACAACACTCATGAGGCTGCCTCTCAACTGAGGAATCCAATGACAATCGTCTAAGACCTTCTTACACACTCCAGGACCCTAAATTAAGTTAAATAATGGCCGTAGCCAACCTTTATTTTGCTTTTGTTTGTTTTTTTTTTTTTTTTGCTAAGCACTCCACTAACATTGTCTCATGTCATCTTGATTATTTTTATCATCTTCTCCATTTCACAATGAGAATATCGAGGCTCAGAGAGGTTAAACAATTTGCCCAAAGTCCCATAAGTGACAGTGATAGCCAAGACTTGAACTAAGGCAGACTTATTTTACAGCCTCTGTGTCTCCCACCTCAGACGGCTTCCACCAGTGGAAACAAAATTCTTTGGAGTACAGAGGAAGCTGGATAGAATTCCGTCCAATAGCAAGAAGGAGGCTCACATTGTTTATTACCAAGGCTCAAAGATACAAAGGGGTGAGGAGCACCAGGCCCTGGAAAGTGGCTGGCTGAGAGCTGAAGTTGGAGTGGGATTGGCACGTTTTGTGCTATCTCTAAGGTGTTAGAGAAAAAGGAAATACAGAGAGGTGAGCAGCTTAACATAATTAGCTACTTTCCTTCATGAGGCATCTGATGATTCGGAATACTTATGGAGAGATGCTGAGCAGCTGAGCAGGGCTACCAGCAGTCTTAGGGGTTAGGAGACATAAATTAGGATTCAAAGCTTTCCAGAAGGAGGGATCCTGGTAAACAGCTCAGTCTTTTAGCTGGGAACCTTGAAGAGCCACACCCTGGTAATAAAGCTAGTCTGAAAATAGACCAGCACTCACAGAGACTCAGATATGATTCAAATCAGTCTCAGATTAGACTAAGGAGATATTCTCCTGGCTAACTGCCTGCCTGAACCAAAGTAAATCTTCTCTGGGGGAAGATGATATCATCCAGACTCTCAGATTATCACTACAATTGTTCGTGCATGGTGTCTGGCATTAAACAACAATAAAACTGGGCATATCATACCAAGAGATAGGAACAAATGACTGAAAACCAAGAGAAAAAAATGCTGTCATTTGAAGAGACGTGCTGAATACAGTTTTTAAAAATAGCCTAATAAAAATTCTAGGACTGAAATTAAGAACTCAGTGGAAGGATTTAAAAGCAGATTAGACTCAACTGAAGAGATGATTCATGAACTGGAATGTAGACCAGAAGAAAATACACACATAGACCTCACTACAATTACAGCAAGATAAAAATTTTAAGAAATACAGAAAAGGAAGACTTAAGAGATACATGGGACCCAGTGTAAACATTTGTGTAATTAGAGTCCTGGAAGAGAAGGAGAGAGATAATGCAGCATAAACAGTATTTGAAGAGAAAATAATCTGAGAATTAAAAACTGACAAAAGACATAGAGCCACAGATAAATACAAAGAAAGTTACAAGTAGAGCCATCAGAGTAAAACAGGTGAAAACCAATCAAGGATAAAAACTGTAAATATAGCTAGTGCAAAAAATAATAAGACACATTTTGTTCAGAGGCACAATAATAAGAGCCAAATTTTCACTGAAAACGATGGAAGCCAAGCAATGAAAGGATATCTTTAAAAGGCTCAAAGAAGGATGTGGCTGGAGCTTGAGGTGTGTAGGGCCTGAGATGTGACAGCCCTGGGCTGGTGAATAATAGCTTTTCAAACCTGAAAAAAAAAAAAGGCCTCCCATAAAAAGACATTGCAAAAAATGAAGAAGAAACAGAAAGAAAAGAGTAAAAAAAGTAGAAGAGGCAAAGTCTGAAGAATTTGTGGGGGAATGTACTGGACCAAGGGATAGTAAATGGGAAGGCAGAGGATTCCCTGAAGTGGAAGAGACTTGCTGACAATACTTAGGAACCTGGAGAAAATTTAGATTGTCCAGAGTTAATTGAAGCATGTCTTACTTCTCAAAAAGCTGGGGAAAAAAAAAAGATGGTACAAAAAGACAGTCTCTATCTGACCGGAAATCTGACGATAGCGAATCAAAGAAGAAAAGAGACCCTGCGGACAACCCCAGGAGCTTTGCCAGAGCTCTTGATCCTGAAGGAGTAAGTGATGCCACTGGCAGTGGTGGAGAATTCATGTCTGTCCTGAAATGGAAAGGTTCAGGTGAGGCCTCCCTGGTGCTGGCACAAGAGGCAAGTGGGGAGTGTCCTTGAGGGGTGATTGTTTCTTATGAAGGGAGACTAATTTGCCATTCTCATCCAGAAGATGAATCTCAATAATTATTTCCATTTCCAATAATTTATATATGTATAAATAAAATATGGATCTTGTTTTTTGATTTATTAGTGTGAAGAAATAACATTTTAATGAAAATCAAGTTTGATATGCTTGTTTTTGAAGAACTATTGGGAGAGTTGTTGGGGTTTTTTTTTTTTTGCATCTATAGCTCTGGTTACTTTGAACAAATAAAAGCTTTCTGTAGTTGCTTCCTTTATCATAGGAGACTATTTGAGACTATGGGATGTTATTTCCCTGCATTTGAGAACACCTAATGGTTCTCAATGTTGGGGGAAATCTTCATAATCATTACTCAATCAGAATTTGTGTTTAACTCCTAGATCCTTAAGGACTATTCTGGGTGTTTTGTTTATTTTATTTTGTCTGTGTGTACATAAAAATGCATACATATGGGCATCCCGGGTGGCTCAGCGGTTTAGTGCCGCCTTCAGCTCAGGGTGTGATCCTGGAGACCTGGGATTGAGTCTCACATCAGGCTCCCTGCATGGAGCCTGCTTTTCCCTCTGCCTGTGTCTCTGCCTCTCTCTCTGTGTGTCTCTCATGAATAAATAAATAAAATCTTTTTTTTAAATGCATACATAAATGGTTTTTCTTTCTTTTTCTTTCTTTCTTTTTCTTTTTTCTTTAAACATTCACCAAAATATAAACGGCATTTCATAACCATGGATAAGCCCATGTTTCTGAGATGCCATCATTTTTAGCAACCTAAGAAATAAATCACTTGAAGTAAATTGAAATTTTTCTTGAAGCCTTAACCTTTCAAATGTTGTAATTAATTGAAAATTTAAATATAATGTAAACAATTTAAATCAGAAAATTTAAAGCAGCCGTATCAGAATCCATATCCATATCTATAGTCATATACAAGTTTATTTGCAAGATCCCTGAAAGGAAAATTTTATCACTACCAACAACCACCCCACCCAAATGAGAAAAGTAGACGAGTCCTGGTGTGTTTTAATTAGGTAAGCAAAACTTAGTTAAACGGATATTTAAAGATTCCTTCTTAGTGAACCATTCCTTTTCAAGAAGTTGAAATCTCTGTTCTGTATTAACTAAAAGATCATGATTTATGGAATGTCTAGGACTTCCTTCATGGAAACCTAATCATAATCAGATGGTTAGAGGTGTTTGCAATTTAGGACCAGCTGGAATAAATGGGTGAACAAACTCCTATAATCTAAATTCCTGACCTGCAGGTTTTTTCTTTATGGCAACTTATTCCTGACATGCAGGTTCAATTTCTCAGTATTTGAGTTCCTGGTTCAGTAGAAACTAGGAAAAACAATTAACTTTGTAGGAGTCAGAATGTTATCCAACTGTATCTTGTTTACTTTATTGCAAATAAAGTGGCCAATAAATAGCTTTCTATTAAAAAAAATAAAAACAAAAGGCTAAAATAACTGCTAACCTAAACTTCTATACCCAGAGAAAGTATCATTCCAAAATGAAAGTGAAAAAAAGACATTTCCAGCCAAACAAAAACTGAGATGATTTGTAGCTCACTGACAGACACTAAAGGAAAAACTAGTTTTTCTTTTTGTTTTTTTTTAATTTTTATTTATTTATGATAGTCACAGAGAGAGAGAGAGAGAGAGAGAGAGAGAGAGGCAGAGACACAGGCAGAGGGAGAAGCAGGCTCCATGCACCGGGAGCCCGACGTGGGATTCGATCCCGGGTCTCCAGGATTGTGCCCTAGGCCAAAGGCAGGCACTCAACCACTGCACCACCCAGGGATCCCCAAAAACTAGTTTTTCAAGTAGCAGGAAAAGATTTCTAAATGGAAGCAAGAAGATGCAGAAGGGAATATAGAGGCTGTAAATAGTAAACATATAAGGAAATCTAAATTAATATTGACTGTATAAGATTATAATATCTTGAGAGAGTTAGAGTATATGTAGAATTAAAGTACATAACAACACACAAAATA